CCTGTGTGCGGGGTCCAGGGAGGTGAGTTTTGGGTATTTTGGGGTGCAGGCGGTGCCTCTAAACCCCCCCTTGGGCTGGGGGCTGCTGCGATAACCCCAGCGACCCTGTTCGCTGCTCCCCTAGGGTGCTGAGGCAGGGGGAGAGGTGCCTGACCTGGGTGACACTGGCACCCTGCGGGCACCCCCAGTCCTTGCTGGGGTGCAGGGTGGGCTCCTGCCCCAGCAGATGGGACCTCCATCCCCAATGGTGGGGGTAGCACCAAGGCCGCCGTGACCTTCGGTCCCTGTGCCGGTGGCATACCTACCGCTCCCCGGGCAGGCACGGTGCCAGGTGCCTGCACTGCCCTGGACAGCGGCTGCCTGGGAGCACATGGAGACCCGTCTCTCACTGGCCAGTTTCCCCCACATCCCCGTGCCCAGCAGGATGGCCAGTCCGGACACCTACGTGCGACAGCCCTGGCGCATGGTGCATGGCATCCCCATGGTCTGTGCCTTCACCTATGACTGGGAGCGAGTCGACAACTTCCAGAGCTTCCCTGAGGACATCGTGGTGGTCACTTTCCCCAAATCCGGTGAGCATCCCCAAATCCACCAGACGTGGTGGTCCCAGGTGGGCAAGCATGTTGCATGGCCAGGACCCACTGCCTGGGGGGACGTGGCACATTCAGGGCTGTTGAGACAGAGTCTTGTGGGATTTTCCTTCACCCCCATGGAACCTGGTTGGGGTCCAAGCAGTTGTCGGCACTGAGCCCCCAACACTGCTCTGGCCACCACCCTGGTGGGTTGCTTTCTGCAGGCACCACCTGGGTCTGCGAGATCATAGACATGATCCTGCAAGGTGGCGACCCTGAGAAGTGCAAGCGAGACATCATCAGCAAGAGGGTGCCCATGCTGGAGTTCGCTGCCCCTGGGGAGATGATGGCAGGTAGCGAGGTGCAGGGGCTCAGCTGCAGGTGCTTCACCAGGGGCTGAGCCTGGGGGGACTCTGCCAAAGGCCTGCTGGGGACATGCTCTGGCATTCCCCAGGGACGGACCTGCTGGCCACCATGCCCTCACCCCGCGTGGTGAAGACCCACCTGCCTGCACATATCCTGCCCAAATCCTTCTGGGAAAACCGCTGCAAGGTAACCCCAAAACGTGGTCTCTGCCCCAGGGGCATTGCACCACCCTGATTCCTGTGGGGCAGCACCCTCCAGTGCTCCCTCCAGCATCCTAAGCTGTGTCAGGAGCCCTAGGGGCTGGAGCGTCCCCCCTGTTGGGGGTCCTGAAGCTGCCTCTCATACCCCACGTCTTCTCGGCAGATCATCTATGTGGGGCGCAATGCCAAGGATGTGGCTGTCTCCTTCTACCACTTTGACCTGATGAACAAGTTAGAGCCGCACCCTGGGACGTGGGCCCAGTACCTGGAGGAGTTCATGGCCGGCAGAGGTTGGACAGGGCACCCCTGGGGGGAGTGTCACCCCATATCCCTCCTCCAGCCCTGCCACTGACACCCCCTGGCTGCTCTCCCCACACAGTGGCATATGGCTCTTGGTATGACCACG